TAATATTATTATTATTATTATAATTATTATTTTATTATTATTTTATTATTATTCTTATTCTCCTCATTTCTACGCTTCTCGTGATTTTTTTGCATCTACGCATATGTATATAAACGTCCACGCGCCTGTGCAGTCGAATGTTCCATCTCGACGACGCGCCGTCGCGATTGTACATGGATAACCTGGACCAGAGGGATTCGTGAAAGAGCGCGTCGATTTGTCGCGTGACATCTTTTTACCGTAACCTATACCCTTTTCGTATCCTCCCGTATTTCTTGCTCTACTTCTGTCTCTGTCCTTTTTTATTCGCATCCCTCTCGCCTTTCGACGCACCGATTCCATACGCCTATTTCGATCTCCTTTCCCTTCCCGGCCTTTCCCCTCCTTTCCCGCCGCATCCCTTCCTTTCCCTTTCCCTTCTCTTTTTCTCCCGCTCCGTCGGATCTTCCCTCCTTATCTTCCCTTCTGTTCCCTTCCTATCCGTTTTATGTTACGTGTTAAAACTGTACATAGCTCGAGTGCAGACACGTGCGTACGCATACGCGTCTACGCGTCCAACTATCCAACTATATCGACATAACCGTCAACGTGTTTCGCGAAAGTGTCGCAAATATACCGGAGATAGTCCAAAGTCTTAGCCAATTTGTATCGACTATAGCGTAGGGATATTCTGGCACGCATCGAGTACGAACGAAATAAATGAATTATATTCGTAAACCTGCTGTTTTCCGTAATACTTTATATCGAAATAGGAAAAAGTAAGGCGCACTTACCGGTCTGTTTCGTTGATCTTCTTCGAGTTCCAGATCCTATCGAACGCTCGAGGTAAGTAGCTCGGGCGATCGAAAAACTGTCGCTCCGTGCGACCAGACGATCTCGATAAACACTTTTTCGAATTCGTGTATCGCGAATTTCGTGTTTTAAACGAAAACGCGCGCGATTAACAGCGGTCACGCGTTTACGGACACATTCGTTAAAATCGCGATTCACTCGCGGAGCAAAAACACCGATGTGAACTTTGAAGTCGAAATGATACGTTTTAAGAAACAGAGGTTGACGTGCGCGATACGCAACTGTCGAGATCGCGAAACATATCGAAGAAACCGAACACCGCTACGGTACAACGCGATACCGACGATTCAATATCGACAACGACGATCGTCCAGCGATCGTAACAGCTCGCGAGACTCGTGTATCGCAACGCGAAAATCGTTTACCGCGCTCCAACGGTGGTTAAACTTTCGCCAACGCTTACAGCGGCACAAGTGGCGTCTTCTCGCGGGCAGCAACTAGGACCGAAAGGGTGCGCTGACATTGCGAGTGCGAGCTTCGACTCGAACACGAAGTATGCAGTGAGTCTAAACGAAATTTTCCTTGCGCACGCGCAGTGGGTTACATTCGAGCAGTCAAGCCACAGTCTTTCTCATGACACGATTCGAAACTTTTATTACGACATTATAAATGCACAAAAACATTTTAAAAATACGTGTGTACGAGCGAATGTGTGTATAGTGTCATGCGATGTGTAATCGAGAGAAAAAAAAAACAGAATTACAAGTTTGAGAGTGAATCAGAGCTACATGGATTATATTCGCTATGTTTCGAATATTCTTCGTCATTTTTTTTTTTCTTTTTATTTCACCTTATTAATTATTATTATGAGCTTTTCGTATTCGAACAGACAAACTTCTGGGCCGGTTTAGCCTTTACGATTACGTGTGGAACGAAATACGCTACCAACGAACGAACGAACGAATAAGAGAACTTGTCGAACAACGTGAACTGTTTCGCTACGAAAACACGATCGAATTTTCAATGTCGAATTCCAGGTAGACGAATATGTCTGTTCGTCGCACCGAAAACTGCATAAACGATACCGTTCTCTACCCCTTACTTTGAAAATGTAAGCTTAACAAGAACAAGGAACAGAGTGCAAAGATGTGTCGTATAGGAAACAAGGACAGAAAGAGACTCGGCGAGGAAGAGCTATCGATGAACGAGACGAAGAAATAATCGATAGAAAAGGGAAGAGAGACAATGTTCGTAAAGAAAAGATGGAAGGACAAATCGGTACGACGGTTGTAAAATCATCTCGCTGTGTCGCATCGCTGGAACGGCAGCGTCCAGCGATCGGGCGACTCGCCTGTTTCGAACTTTCCACGAAACTACACGAGGGCGCTCGATCACTAGATTCCTCGTTCTTCCATTGTTTCGATTTCCTTGAATCGAATCGTATAATCGTTCCGCTAATCGATGACTACGTTTTCCGAAATTATCCGACGATTATCTTCGTTGGTGCTTTTTATCCTTTTTTTTTTTCTTTTTTTTTTCATTTTTACAACGTTCGAATGTCGCGTAGAGGCTAAAAGAGCGTTACGAAAGGCGTCACACGGTACACGGTGACAGGAAAAAAAGTACGCTACCTCCTATGCTCGACGTCGAGCAGGAGAAGGAAGGACCGCCATTACGCTTGTCGCGGGTTCCTTGGTAAGTTCCATTCTTTTTTTTTCTTCTTTTTTTTTTCTTTTTTCGTTTTTGGTACAAAAATAGATGCCGAGCGTAAATCACGTAGTCTCGCACCAGAATATTTAGGACCTAAACGAAATTCATCGGTGAAACAATCTGCGGAATGTAAATGTTCCGAGACCGGTTACCCTGTACGCGTCGCAAAACGAATTCGGAACACAATTTGCGCGCGGTTATTTTGGACTTTTCGGTAAATTAACGTCGAACTAGTTACGCGGTAGGAACCACCGTCGCGTTATAATTACGCGAGCCGTCCGTGTGTCGAGAAAGAAAGGATATACCCGTTGCGCTTTCGTCTCAACGAATAGAGCGAGAGAGAGCGAGAGAGAGAGAGAGAGAGAGAGAGAGAGAGAGAGAGAGAGAGAGAGTGAGAAGGGGGGGAGGAACACGATTTTGGGATTCCGCTGTATACGCGAAACCAACGCAACGTTGACGATTGAATCAGGTAAGAGCGAAATATCTCGTCGAGACTACGCGAATTTGCTCGATTCGCCGATAGAAGAACAAGATTGGATCACCCGTTGAATAAGGGGGCGAGAACTACGTTACGATAATTACTTATTTATTGGAATACGCTTAATCAGACGCGATTAATATGCACGATTTTTGTGGAAATTCGCAAACTCGTATCTTTCCGTTGCCGGACAACCGGGATGACGATATGATAACGATCGAGGGGAAGCGAAAGTTTTCTTTCTCTCTCTCTATTTTTTTCATTCGTCGATGAATTTCTCGAGACCCGTGCTGGTTCGAGCGTTCTAATCGACGAGCGTACGCGAGCACGTGTGTCCGCGCCATCTTTGATCCGTTGTTAAACTATCGGCATCGAATCGTCACGACGTCGAACGCGTCGACGACGAATGGAAGAATTCGTGCCGACGAATTAAAAGTATGCGCGAACGGATTGTCCGAATCAAGGGAAAAGGTACGAGTCCTTGTTAAATATTCGTTCTCCTAAGTCTTCTCGAGGAGTGAGCGCCGTCAAGGTTGTCAGGCATAAATAATACTTTGCTAGTCCGTGTAGTTGGCGCTCCGAGTGAAACGCGCCTGTTTATCGCGACGACGTTTCGTCGTTGAACGATTCCGCCATTATTCGACGAGTCGCGAACGCGAAGCGAATAGAAAAAAAGAGGGGACGCTCGTCCAAGTCAACGAGTTAGTTAACTCTGTGTGTATTCGTGTACGTGTCCGTATGGCGTGTGTGTACGCGCGCGTGTGTATGTACGTGTCTACGACAATTACGCAGAGCTTTGATCGACAAGTAATAATTATTATTATTATTATTAATTCTACTTTCGAGCGTCGGGTATGGTTAACCGACCGAAAAAGAGAGATCGAGGAGGAAAACGTATCACGATGACGAACGATGCTTCCTAAGCTCGATTTCTCGTATTTCTTTTTTACCGACGTCACACGCGAGATTCACATCGTTCGACGCTATTTTCCTTTCGGATCGTTCTCGTCCTCGATGACGCGAGCCGAAACGTGCTCGATAGGAAAGGCGTACACATCACTGGAGTGAGGTTTTCAGGCACGAGAAGAGCTTCGTCAGAGAATACCACCGAGATGTTGCCTTTCCACGACTGCTTCGAGCGGAGCTCGAGATGAACGAGAGTGAAAGGAAGCAGAGAAGACGAGATGCGTACAGCGTTGTGGAGAAAAGAACCGTTCATCGGTTACATATATAGAACGCGTTTCTCGAGACGCGAAGCTCTTTCGATCGACGACAACGTTCGACTAACGGCGAACGTCGGAACGAGGAAGTATCGCATGGACATTGGTTATAAACTAGACAAGAGGGGAACGTTCGATCGAACGAGCGGTCAGCCGTGTACTTGTCGTACATCTCGAAACGTATAACCGATGTTCCGGCAGCACCGATCCGCGTATTCCTCTTTAACGACATTAACGATATCATCGACTGCACGGCGTATCCTCGCGTGATATGAAATTACTTCTAATCGTTAGTCTTGTTAACCGACGTGGAGCTCGCATGCAACACGTTCCTGGGAGCGAATGAACGGAGAATTCGTAAGAAGACGCGCTTCAGGTTCGTGCTTCGGTAACCAATCAGTAGCAGGAAACAAATACCTATGTATTTGTATTAGTGTCGGTGTAAACGAGTGCAGAGAGAGAGAGAAGAGAGAGAGAGAGAGAGAGAGAGACAGAGAGAGAGAGAGAGAGAGATATGAAACGAGAATACGAATCGAATGTTTGTACCGCTAGTAAATTTTAATCCGTGGATAAAATCTGTGCATGGAAATATTCGAGTACTAGTTGCATACGTACTTTTTAACTACTTACATACGAATGTCGTTTAAAGACGAAAAGAGGAACGTTATCGAAACGCGGATAGAAATTTCATACGTTTAACGTGTAAAGATTCGCAACTATTCGTATAACTTTACGTATATAATAGTCGTAATAATAATAATAACAACAATAATAATAACAATAATAATAATAATAATAATAATAATAATAATAATAATAATAATAATAATAATAATGATGATGATGATGATGATGATGATGATGATGATGATGACGATGACGACGATGACGACGACGACGTTGATGACGATGATGATGATGATGATGAAGACAATGACGACGATGATAAGAATGACAATGAATGATCGTAATGATAATAATAAGAATATAATCGTTTCTTCAATATGTATCATTTTTATGTATAAATACGTGTGTGTGTGTGTGTGTGTGTGTGTGTGTGTCTTGGAAGGCAACAGTAGAGTATACCGAGGTAAAAGTATAACAATAACGAACGCGAAGAACGAGGACAATAATTGGGAAATATTTTCGATTCTCGATAAAACCGCAGGAGGAAGCACAATGTTTCCTCAGCGATCGATCGCAGTTTATTTCCGTCCTTTTCTTACCATCACGCGCGATTTCGGATTCGTCACACGAATCCATCATCTTTGCCGATTCGCAATTTTTCACGTTACTAACGCGACACGGGCGACACCACGCGAACATCCCGGTCTTTGCGTTAAGGATACAAGGTGAAAAGTCTTGGGTTGCTTTCACAACCAATGGAGGGGGGGGGGGGGGGGGGGGAGGGGTACGATAGTCGACGGTTTAAACGAGGAGGGATGAAGCGTCAGGGAGAAAGTGAGAGGGGGAAAAGAGAGAGAGAGAGAGAGAGAGAGAGAGGGGCAAGGAGGAGGAAAGAGAAAAGAGAAAAAGTGAAAGCCCTGAGCAGCGAAGAGTCAAAAGACGAATGTCCGAGGACAATGGAGGGAGGAAAACGTATGACGAGATTAAAACTAGCCAGTGACTTAGATATTCTATCGATTTAAACGTGTTGCACGAATTCTGGATTAAGAAACGAGAAACCCATAAACTCTGTTTGATCCAGGTTCATCATAAACAACTTGTCCGTAGGCGTCAAATCTGTCTTCTCCGAGGTGAACTGTTTGTCAAAGTTGCTCACGTCCTTGCGATGTTTCTGTGGGAAACGTTTACGCGTTATTTCTCTCTCGTTCACCTTAAGCGTATATATATGTATACTCACGATCTTTGGCTTGAACGGCGGTTGCACCTCTCGATTCTCGATCTTTTCCCAATCGATTCGCCGGAAAAACGCGTGGCTGCGAACGTCTTCTTCTCCCCGTAGGCCGCAGCCGAGTCTCTTCACCGGATTCTTGGTAAGAAACTGCGGAAACGAGGAAACTTTGCAATTCAAACTTTGCGAGACAGAGAAGATCTCGAGATCTTACCGCTTTGCATATCTCCCTCGCCTCCTTGGATAAGCTCTTCGGATAGCTGACGTTATGCTCCGTGATTGCGGCGAACAACTCTTCTTCGTCCTCGCCGTCGAACGGCGGCTGACCGACCAACATTTCGTACAACAGCACGCCGTATGCCCACCAGTCCACCGACTTTCCATACGGCTGATACAATATGATCTGAAAGAAACGAGCGAAACAATGGATAACACGCTGCAGGATGGAACATGCAGCGGTGGAACCGCGTGAACCGCGTGAACCGCGTGAACCGCGTGAACCGCGTGAACCGCGTGAACCGCGACACTGACTTCCGGCGCAATGTAGTCCGGTGTCCCGCAAAACGTCTTGGTAGTCTTGTCACCGTTGATGCCCTCCTTGCACATTCCAAAGTCAGCGATCTTGATGTGACCATCCTGATCGAGTAACACGTTGTCCAGTTTCAGATCCCGGTACACGATGCCTCGACCGTGGAGAAAGAAGAGACCGATCGCTATTTCGGATGCGTAGAATCTGCGAAAAGGAGAGAGGATTTTTAACAGAGAATCCGAAGAACACCGCGACAGTGGATACGAAGAAGACTTACACAGCGACGGGTTCCTTGAACTTGCCACACTGCTGTATCTGGTACATCAGGTCTCCACCGTTGACGTACTCCATCACGAAGTAGAGCCGATCCATGGTTTGGAAGCAAGAGTGAAGTTGCACCAAGAACGGTGGTTTATTCGACAAGGCCAGCACGCGTTTCTCGACCATGGTACACTCCACGTCGTCATCTTGGATGATGATGTCCTTCTTCAGGATCTTGATGGCGTAGAGTTCGTCGGTACCTTTCCTCTCCGCCAGCATCACCTTGAATACGAGGCCGAGAGTGAGGAAACTAACGTTTTATCTCTTTTACAGCCACGTGTATAGAGACGTAAGGAACGGATGACTGACTTTGCCGAAGCTGCCTTTGCCGAGCACCATTAGGAAGTTGAAATCGCTGGCCCTTATCAGGTCGCTCTTGCCCATGTTGTGCGGGACCTCCTTGTCCTGCGTCGTGGTGGTCTTTTTCGTCACCGAGGTTTTCTACAGAGGAAAAACGTGGAGAACGTTTGACACGTGATGCTATTACGAGCCTCGATCATCCGCCATGAAACGTACTCGCATTTTCACCTTCAACTCTGCAAGATCCACACCCTCCTCCGGTACAGGTACATTGTAGTATTCTCCTTCCTCCTGCGTGAGAAGTTTGAACCAGCCGCTTACCGGTGCTTTGATAAGCTCCGATATCCCGAAGGAGAGTGAACCCATGAAGTCGTTCCTCGACGTTCGATCCCAGTCCCAAACTTCGATCAGGAGTCGCCTGTCTTTGTCCTCTGGTTTCAGGTCGCTGAAAATGAAATGAAAACTCTGGCTATCATCGCGTTTTCGTGCGTATCGCGCAAGGACGCGGTGGTCACCACTTACAAGATGATCGTCTCGTTCCATTCGGGATTCAAGGAGGACTTGATCGTCTTTGTTTTCTTCTTCACGTTGTCCGAATCCGGAATCAACTTCAACTTGACGTAAGGATCCGACAAGCCGTTTGGATCCATCGGAATGAGATTTCGTCCCTGTTTCACTGCAATTCCAGCCAAACGTTAGGATCTCTCGGCGCCCTTGTTCCCTTCGTCTCCGACTCTCTCGACCTATCCAGAGCGACAGTGCCACGGGAAGCAACGAAGACAGGATTTTGTCCGCGATAACCGAGGAGCTTGATCGGGAAGAGAAGCATAACTCGAGCAACGATAATCGCGCAACGATGAAGATCTTCCGTTGGTTCGGTCAGGGCCGGTCTCGCGGCTCGCACAGTCGTTCGACGGAAGCGTCGATAAATCGATCCAAAGATATTTTTAACCACGATTAACGCAGGAAAGCGTGAAAGGACTAAATCCGCTCGCGAACCGTACGGCACCTGGTAGGGCGGCCGTTTTAAAATACGCTTTCGTCATCGACGCGAAGACGCTTTTCTCGTTGGTCGGGAGAGAGAGAGAGAGAGAGAGAGAGAGAGAGAGAGAGAGAGAGAGAGAGTGAAAGAGAGAGAGAGAGAGAGAGAGAGACATAGAGAGACAGAGAGAGAGAGAGAGAGAGAGAGAGTTGGAGTGGAAGGTCGAAAAGCTGGGGGCAGCAAAGATAGACTTACCTTCGACGGTCAGTTTGCTTCCGGAACATGCGATGTGCAAGTTTATACGACCACGTCTTTCCGTATGATCGCATCCACAGAGATTCGGCACGCTCTCCTCGCATCTCTTGTGTACGTTCATGTCGCATGCTACGTTATTAGATCATGATTGATTATAATCGTTGTTCAACGTTCGCTGGCACATTTACGTTGCAGCCAGACCGGCAATCTCGTATAATTTTCTCTTACTTTTTTATTCTTTCTCGTCCATTTCTCACACGCATATATATATATATATATACACATACACATATATATACATATATATATATACATATGTATTTTTTTTTCTCTCTTCTTGCGTTCTTTACTATTTTGCATTTTTGCCTCAAAAGTGTTGGTTCGAGCAGCAGGATACAGGATAGGGGCGCGGTTCTTCACGCGTTTCATTCGCTATCGAAACTGCAGCTGCCGACCGTCATTTTCTTTCTTCTCGTCTTTTACTCGATCCGTTCGGTCGTGTTATCTATTTCTCCTCTAGGCGATTCCGGTCGATTTTCCTCGATGGAAAGGCGTAATCGAGACGCACGATCGGGGCTGCAGTCGAAAGTGCACACGCGCGAATCTCGACGAACAACCGTCCGAAAGTCATGCTCGGTCGACGAGGATTCGTGCTTAAATCGAAATACAAAAGGGAGTCGTGCGAATTACGAGGAGATTATCGACGCTGTTGATTAGCATTCTCTTCCGCTCGCGTTCATCAATTTCGATTTGCGTCGCATCGATCGATAACACCTCGTAATCCTTGACTGCGAAAGATGCGAGGTACAACGAGAAGCGGCCACTACGACAAACCACGTGATCGTTGAACAGGTAGACGGGTGATCGACGCTGGACGTCGAGATGTACGCAACGGTACCGATAGCGCGAAGGAAGGAAGAGACAAGAGATCGCGAGATCGTCGTACAGAGGGACGAGAAGAGACGAGTAGAGTGAAAAATGTAAAGTTGCAAAGTGAAATTTCATCGAACGACACGTGATGTAAGTATATACACGAGTAAGTACGAGAGTTGGAACACACGCGAGCATACGTACAGATGCTTATACACATACGCGCGCGCATACATACATACACATATAGTGGAGAGGATACGTAGAACGATGTCTGTAAATAATATGCAACGAAAGGGTTGTACAGCGAACGAGAAGGAAAGTATCGCGTTCGCGTTTACTCGGTAACGAGCAAAGGACACAACTACACAGTACGTATCGGTATCGAGATAATTACGAGCATGCAGAACATGTATCGTGTGTCGTAAGTATGTACAATCTCTAAGTATGCAGATCGCGGATAAATACCGTACGCACAGCGTTGCTAAGGTAATTCTATGTACACACAGGCGGTGACGAGGCTTTCCTAACTGTGCGACAGGAGGACAGTGTGGCGAAAAGAGGAACGGGAGAAGCAAGCGAGGAGGAGCTAACAGGCGAACAACCAAGTGCAAGGTTCTCTTCTTCCACGGTAAACGGAACGTGTAACAACGTGTTTATGCGACGAATTAAAGGGGGATGGTGCAGCAGCAGCAGCAACAGCAATGGTCACCGGCAACCATCCAACACAGACACGAGCAACGGAATCGGCGCGTCTATTGGACAAACACGCGGATGAGTTACGGGGTAGTCCAGGGGAAAGAGAAATACCTATTCGTCGACGCCTCGAACATCGCGAACGTCGATTAACGGACGTTCCACAGCGTCGAGGATTGCATGGGACGTCTTCGATCTTGCGAGTCGCGTAATTCCATTTTCGTTTGCGCGCCACCTATCGCGCGGGATGCGAATCGAAACGGCGAAAAACGAGCAAACCAGCGTTTTAACGTCGATCACCGAAACGCGTGGTCGTCGAATCGACCACCAAACTCTACAGAGGAAACGACAACGTGGATGACGATAACGATGACGACGACGATGACGACGACGACGACGACGATGACGATGATGATGATGATGATGATGATGATGATGATGATGATGATGATGATGATGATGATGATGATGATGATGATGATGATGATGATGAAGAAGAAGAAGAAGGAGAAAAAGAAGAAGACGACAAAAACGAGAGATGAAGAGATCAAAGTGGCTGTTCGATACTCGCAGCGACGTGGAAAATACGAGATTTTTCCTAGTCTTTTCTCGCGCGAGAACTTGTAATTCCGACCGATTAGCCGCTGCACGGCTCGACTTTATTTCTTCTCGTTGAAACGTCGAAAGAAATCGTCGCGGTCTATACGGGATCAACGAAGCGGAAGCCGTCGAGGTTCTCAAACGAGACGAGAAAAGCGAAGAGAGAGTGAGAGAGAGAGAGAAAGCGAGAGAGAGAGAGAGTGAGAGAGAGAGAGGGGGGGAGAGAGAAACGCGAAAGGAGAAACGACCGAGAATCTCGTTGAACTCGAGCTTACAGCAATTCGTCGAAGAGGTACTCGGGTATATATATATATATATATTCGTATATATAATATCGCGTACGTAGATGAGGCGAGGAAAAGATGGGAACACTGATAGTGACACGCAGAAGCGAAGCTCTATTATTGCGTTATTTCGGACATTTACGTGGCAATCGAGCGAAATCGTTCGATCGGCTGTATGTAGTTGCAGCAAGTAGTAAATAAGTACGAAGGACGATCGTACGCTACTCGAGAGATCGAATCGTTTGATCGAGAACGGGAGACGGATGTTTGAGAGAAATTGATCGCACAGTTCGTATATAAGAACGGGTAGCTCGTTTCGGCTGGATCCGAGAGGGTGACAGCGCAACGCGCGTTTTCGCGTGGTTTTCGCGTGGTTTTCGCGTCGGTTGGAAAGGGGGTGCGCGACGAGAGATGGCACACGCGATGGCAGCTGTTTCCACTCGAATCTAGACGAACGCGAACCGCCGTATCGAAGATAATAGCTACATACGTGAAGAGATAAACGCGTGCGAAATCTAGCCGCTTCGTGGAATGTATTACGGACTGAGTTTTTGTTTGATCGTAATGTTTGTTAACTACCTGAACATTTAAGTCCCTGATGCGCGATACCGTGAAGCATCGAGCCGCAGTGGTCGCAGAAGGTTGGCGTCAGGTACGTGAAAACCTCCCATTTGTGTGCGGTGCTCATCTGGGAACAAGAAACAGCGGCCCGGGAAAGCCCGGTCCTTCATTGTGATCTGATCCTCTGATTCCGAGCGATACCGATCGAATCCTCGCTATACCACCCGGCCATTACCGTATCCCGAACTCGCTAAATCGCGTTTGTCCGCCGATATTTCATCGATACCTTTTTTTCCTTTCTCGCTTCTCGCTTCTCGCTACGATTAGACGCGTTCGAGATGGTCGTCGCGACCAAGGGTGAATCGGCGCGATATCCGATCCCATCGTCAGGAACACGCTTTAAAACAGCGCTGGAGAAAGAATCGTATCGTGCACGATTCTCGAAGGGAAAGGAGAAAAGAGAGACGTCTTTCGCGAGAAAAAACCTATTTCTCGCGGAGGGATCCTCTGCCCGTGACAAAGATAGCCGGCTGTTTAGCTTGCCCGGGGTATAACGTTGTTCCCTCGGAACCCGGTTAAGGCTCACGCCTTTGCTCGCCAAATTCGATTTCTCTCTTTCTCTTCTTGCTTTCCGCCGCGGCGGACGCGACGGTCGCGACGGTCGCGACGGTCGCAGCAGGAAGAAAAAAGGAAGGGAGGAAAAGGGAGGAAAAGGGAGAAAAAGATGGAGAAAAGCGAGGGGACGAACGGGGGAGAGGACGGATCGGGATGGGCTGAATGGACTGGCCCGTGAACGAGACGGAGAGAGACAAACGCGAGAAAGAGAGAGGCGAGAAGAGCGGGAGAAGGGTGGTGTAAAGTAGGCCTTGCTTCGCGGACCGACAGAGCGACGCGCTCCTCTGCCTCCATTTTCCACGGGCTTCTCTCTCCTTCTCCAGCCGGTTTTCCCACCGTTTCTCCAACGACGTTAATCGATATCGACGCCGCTCTTTTCTCCATTCCTCGTTCCTCTGCCGTTCTCTCGGCTCCTGACATTCGTCTCGGCCCATCGGATTGTCATACGCGTTCCACGCTAGCTCCGACGGAGCGTGTTGACCGGCGGGGTCTCCGTCTCTCGACGTGGTCGGGACGCAAAGGTGCGCACGGAGGTATCGCCGCGAGACCACGAACAAAGATCGTTCGTTTCTGCTCGTGTTGGTGTTCGCGTTACTCGGGGAGGGGTATAAGGGAAAACGCGAATCGAGACGCGCGACAAAGATTACAGGCACACCACACACATACACACACACACACACACACACACACACACACACACACACACACACACGGTGTAGAGAACGGATTGGCGGTGACACATGATGCGACGTAAATAAACGTGTAAAGAGTGCGGGACAGATTATTCGATAAACACGTAGAAGCGGTAGAGACACAGAATACATAAACAGACTGTACAAAGTTGAAGAGCTATTTACAAATATAATATAATAAAGGATCGAAGGTTGCCCTTGTTCGGAGCAACTTTAAAATCCGAGATAAGACGTTACCCACGGCACGCTCGCGACAACGCGTTCCCTTTCTATCGTCTAGACTAAGTCCGTTCTTTTTGTCTCTTATTTTCTCTTTTCTACGGTTCGAAGCTAGGTGAAAGTTTGCGAGCAATTTTCTCTATCTATCTATCGCGGGCCTCGCCGCGATCATCGCCATGCAATTCGATGTCGTCGCGTGGTCGTCGAGTTCTACTAGTCCGCCTATCGAGAAACTCGGCGGCAACTACGAGAAGAGACGATAGATCCGACCATGTAACGCGAATATCAAGCTTCGACGTCTAAAAGGCCAAGCTAAATATCGCGCATACTATTGTACGAACATCAACGTCTGTGCACACGCGTCGTAGAAAGTAAAACGAGGAAAAATGTGAGAAGGTTCCAAGGAGCGAGTAGGATCGGGACGTTCCGCGCCCTCGTGTTAAATTTCGCCAAGACAAGAACCGAGACAAGATCGGAGAAGAAAAAAGAAAAAGAAAAAAAAAAAAGAAGAAAGAAAAAGAGTTTGAAAAATCCGACTCTATTTCGCGGAAGAACGTCGGTAGCAAGAAGAACGTTTCAAGATTATACTGGTAAAATGAGGAAAGGATTCCACGATATACGCGATATTTACGATAAACGTTTACCGGAGATACGGACCGTGGTGGCGCTAGTGAGTTAAGTGGAAAATCGGCCGAAAGCAGGCGTCGCGGTTTCTCGCGAAAGGATTAAGAAAAGAAAGTGTCGATCGTCGGATCGATAACAACGCGTGCTCGTAGAGGCAAGAGGTCGAAAGTAGCGGAAAGGCAAAGAGAACCGAGCGGACGAAAGAGGAACGGAAGCGTTTTTCTTCCGTCTCTTTCTTCTTCCGCTTCCGGCGCTCTGCCTCGCACCCACCCTTCGCTTCGCTTGCCCCTTCCGGGGTGGAGTAAACGGATTACGCGATTCCGCGCGCGCTCGCAGAGATAAACGAAGAAGAAACGCGTACACGCGAGCGAGTACACTGGATATCTGTCCGCGTGGAAAAGCTCGAAAGAGAAGAAAGTGGAGAAAAGTTAATTCGATAGAACTTTTGCGACAGAGACAAGCTTGGCGAAAGAATATTTACAAAGAAGGAACTGCGGGAAGAGGAGTAAACGGAAGAAGAGGAAGTAGAAGAAGAAGAAGAAATAGAAAAAGTAGAAGTGAAAGAAGAAGAAGAAGAAGAAGTGTAAGTAGAAGACACGAAGAAGATTAGAAGGGAGAAGACGAAGACAAAGCAACACCACGAACAAACGGTGGACCAAAGACAAAATGTACGGTCAAGTGTAATGTGCGAGAGTGTATGTGTCCTTTTTTCTTTTCGTGTGTCTGTGCGCGTGTGACTGGTTGCGTGTTCTCGTTTTTTTTTTTTCTTTTCATTTTCTTTGTTTTTAATATGATACCTTGGCACTTCATGCCCTGGTGGATGACACCATAGAGAAGACTACCGCAGTGGTCACAGAAGGTGGGGCTGTTGTAGGTGTGTTGCTTGAATTGGTGCTTCGTCCGCGTGTCCTGCGTTATTACACCATTACACCGTGCACACACACGCAGACTCTTGAGTCATGGCGTGAGAATGGTGATCCGGACGTGGATTTGGATATGGACGGGGATCCGGATCGGGATCGGGATCGGGATCGGGATCGGGATCGGAATCGGGATCGGAATCCAGGACACACGGTGGGATCGAGTGAACGAAGGCAGGATTCGTTCGCGTCTCGCCATTTCCCTGATAAGCGAACCAACGACGAGGCATCGCGGCATCTGCTCCGCGAACGCGTACACGAGCGCTCGAGCGTGTATAGGTACGCGCGTGGCGCGGCATGGCGTCCGGAATAAACCGGTCGACATCGGTACGAGTTAGAAACGCGGCTTCCAACGACGGTAACCGCGAAACGAGCAAGTTTCGCGGCTCGAACGGACAAGAGTGACACCATCGCGATACCCCGTCGTCCCACTCCGCGCCGTACTCCATTAAACGCTCAAAGTTACGCTTCGCTTTCAAACTAGCCAAGTGGCAACTCGATTATTGCCCTCTCCGACCCGACTGGTGACTCGGTAACCGCCGTGTTCGCGGACGGTGTCCGTTAACCGACACCCGAACGCGTGCGATTACTCGAGCAATCGACGCAGATGGTTCGGTCACGAGGGAAATCGGGGGGGGAGGGGGATGGGGGGGGGCGCGATCGAAAGTGCACAAGGGATGCACGAGGTAGACAAGGGATGTCGAGAAAGAGTCGTCTTCGAAGCACAGAAGCACAAGGAAATCAGCACCAGGGCCAAGGAAGACGCTAGGACATTGATCGGTTTAATCGAGATACCGAAATGTAAATAAAAATCATATTCGTTGCGCAGTGGTCGGGCAAACAAACGTTCGCGACTCGTCGTCGAGCGTCCTCGACTTGCGGCCAACGACGCCGCGCGCGCGAACCACCACGAGTCGAGAACGTTGTTCCCGTTCAAACGATTTCGACCGACGAATTTCCTTATATTTGTCCGCATAATTATTCCGTGTTACAAGCGTGGTTAAACGAAGCGCAGAAAACGCTTAGGCCAATCGTGCGCGGTGCGAGAAAACGTGGAGAAATGTATATATAGCTCTTAGCCCCGGGTGTCCTTTCCCTGTTTACTCCAGCCGAGGATCATCATCCTTATCATCCTTAATCGTCGCGTTACGCCCTTTTGTCTTTTGGCCCGAGCGACTCGTTTCCACTCGTTTTACCCTTCTTCTCCTCTCTCTCGCGCGCGCGCACACACACACGCACGCACGCACACACACACGCACACGCACGCTCGTTTTCTCTAATTTCTCCTCATCTCCTCATCTCCTCATCTCCTCATCTCCTCATCGCACTTTTATTCGCGCAGCCGGACATATCGATATTCCGCGATCCAAGTATCCGAGTGCGATCGCGTGAAATTCATTAGCTGGTAAAAAGACCACACGGCCATCGGGATCGATCGGGCCGTAAAAATACGCTCGGTGCGCGTTTGGTCGACGGAAAGCTCGACCTCGATATCGATCCGACAGCGACCTTCCTTAACTACTCCGCGCATTTCGCAGCGGCCTGCCGATACGCTCGGCCCTCTGCCACGCACGCTTTGCACGCGTGTTTAGCTCTCGTGCCGTTAATTAACGCGTGTTAAACGACGCCAGAATGAAGAGAGAGAGAGAGAGAGAGAGAGAGATTTCTTTTTCCTCTTAACTCGCAACGCGTCCTCCGCGATCTCTCGAGAAGATCGCGAAGGGAAACTTTGCCTGTGGCTGTGGCGCGTTACGGAAGTTGGGTATACGAGTAAATCGAGTCGCGAAATATCGGTCTATTTTTCCAAAACGAGACGCATCTAATAGAACGTCCTTGGCTTCGGACGAAAGAGAGAAAGGCGTGATAAAACTGCGTCGAGAAAGAAGAATAATAAACAAAAAGAATCGTGTGTAACGAGATGTACGTAGTTGGTGGATACTCACGTCCGAGTCAGCTCCCTTGTCGGCACCAGGGCACGTGAAGGTCACGTATTCGTGGCATCGTTTATGAACGACGAAACTGCAGACTGAAACACAAGCGGCAAATTGGAGCCAAAGTTCTTCCGGGGACGACAGATCGCGGCTGAGGAAAGGTCGATCGCGTGGAAGCCCCGGTCGTTCTTACCTTGGCATTGGTATCCTTGCTTCCCGAAGCCCCTGAAACAAAAGTTTCCGTCACGAGATTAATTTTCCCCGTTACAGGTTTCGTCGTTCCTTCGCTCTCCTTTTCGTACTTTGCCGGATCCTTATCCACGCGTACGCGGAAGGAAGGGGTGAGAAGACGCCGAGTTCCACTCGAGTCGCAGCACCGGAAACACCGCGTTTCCTCCACTCTCCAGACGAAGGAAAATAATCCGAACGATTAGTCGCGACGGAAGATGCATCTTCCGGTGATCGGTGTTGGTCGCTCTATGCGTTGCTTCCACCATCCCGATCAGATCCATTTCCAGCGAGGTGATCGATATTTCGATAACGCGTGCACGTGCTCCCGATCGTGTGACCACGAGTCGAACGGAACGAGCTGTCGCGAGATAAGCTCGAGGATCGTTTTTCGCGCCACCCGGCCTCACAAACAGACGCGTAGGAAGGACGCGTGAAACGGCAGGCTACGAAGAAAGGAGTAAGGAAAAGGAGGAGAATCGATGCAAATCCGCGATTAACCTAGATTTCTTCGCAGCTTAAATGCGTGGTCGCAGCGTGGTCGCTACGTGGAGCATGGGGCTACGTTGGTGGGCGTCGCGCGACGTCGCGAAAGCGTTTTATCGGCGCGAAACGCGTTAGTTTCAGAGCTAGCGCAATTCGAAACGAAGCTCTGCCGGTTATCACGGGGCAAAATATCCGAGCGAGAATTTTCGATCGACCGATTGGCCGCCTAGCTAATCGACCGACGAGTTCCGATAAACGATCTCGCGCGTCAAAGCGACGTCGCGATATAGCGCGCGGGTCCATGGTGTTGTAACGGGGTGGTAAAATCGGTGAAGCGTGCGAGTTTTCGACGAGAAGTCGATGGAGTGGACTATTCCGTGGGAAAATGGGGCGCACAGCGCTTGAATCGAGGATCCAACGTATGTCGGGATCGCGATGGCTACCCGTAACCGGAATAACGAGCAGATCGGATCTATTTTCGACGCAGCGTGCTCCGGAACCGACATCGGCTGCAGCCCTTTGGAAAATTAAGGCCTTTGGAGCATTTAATGGAGCGATTCTCGAGCGGATGCTACGAAACGGAGCCATCGTCCGCGTACCAACGACGAACAACACCCTCGCTGCTCGCGAACGACCGAGTTTCCTTCGCACGACGGCTGCTAGCTACGATCTTTATGACGAAATTAGCCGGATATTCGAAGCGAAAGCCGATACGGGAGAAAGACGGTGGCGCGCCTGTACGTGTGCGGATAGGCGAGGCAGAGGGAGCTAGTTACACAGGTAGGGCACGGTGAAAATTTGCCATGCTTGGAACACGGTTATCCCGTTCACAGTGCCGGGGACGATGAGAGACCGATCGATCGATCGACGAAGGTCCGGAAGAGAAGGAAAAAGTACTCGGACTGGTAAACTGGTAGCCGCCGACAAAGGAAAAACGAGACGCAAACGACGTAACGTACTCTCCTCGAAAACGTATCGATTCACGGCCGGGACGATAAAGTTCGATACGAACGAGCACCGTGTGGCATTTTTCCAATCTCTTCTGGAGAAAATCTGATCGAGCACGAAATTATATACCCGCGGAGCGGCAGGTGCTTCTTGGACCGTGACGGGTTTCCCGGGCTCATCGGCGACCTTTCCGATTCGCGCGAGAATCCATCGAAAGCCTTTTGTTCCAAGCTAATTGGGTTCGCTCGGTTTTCATCGATTTTCTAGTCTCCGCGACCCCCTGCTGAAACCCTCGCTAAAACCCCGCTAAAACACCCCGCGCGCATCCTTCGTCAAAGACCGCAACGAACCGCAACGAACCGCAACGAACCGCTAAAAATTCCCAAACGGAGCGTCGTCGACGTCCTCCTCCTCTTCGTATTCCTCCTCGTATTCCTCCTCGTATTCCTCCTCGTATTCCTCCTCGTATTCGCCGTCGTCTCGAGGAGCACGTGTCCTTGCCACTCGCGTGGAATTATCGAACGCGAGACTCTGTGTCGGAAATAATAAAAATCAGGCGTGCACCTGAGACCGAGTCACCTGGATCAGGCTCTAGCTAACAACCGCGATTCGTTGTTCGCTCGTTCGATGGAGGTCGAAGGGGAAATGGAGACCCGGTGGCAACGCGCGCAACGTCTGGTGAATGAAATTCTTAACGTTCGATGCAAAATTCAACAGGCAGCTCGAAGGCGCTGGCCTTCCGCCAGAACACGCTCGCTTTTATGCAGCGTTTTTAGATTCCGCGAAACATACGAGCGCCGCAAAGCAGACGAAATACATGGCCAAACGACTTTTCCTGCGATCATAGAGGGTAGAGTAGAAGAGGCGAGGGTGAAACTTGAAGCTAATGCAAATTCGAGCGCGGTATGTACGCGCAACGCGCAACGTGCAACGCGCAACGGGCAACGCGCAACGAGCGTACACGCCGATACGAGAGGGACGCGAGTGGATTCTCCTGAATTCCCGAGGAATGATCGCGATTGCGGCAATTCGTGTCCCGATACTCGCTGCAATCTCCACTACCGGAGGTCCAACGCGCGAATAAAACGGAAATTTCGTTTGCCGAAAGGTAATCGAAAATCCGATGCCCGAATTCCGAAATTTCCTACAATCGATTAATCCTTCCCGTTTTCTCTTCTCTCC